AATCTGGAGTCCCTAGCTAGATTCAATTTATGAAAAGATGCCCTTTTATAGATTTCACAATAGCCTGATTTTCATTTTGTAAATGTGTTTCGTTGTTTAGTGTCTTTATTCATTCCCATTCAATGAGGAAGTGACTCCACTGTTGGAGGCCCTGTGCCACAGGTTAAAGTCACAGAAATGAGTCATTCTGGATTTAGTCCCTAGAAGTACTCGCCAGCAAATGCAGATGAGTGTATCACTAGCACTTAAAATGATTTTATTCTTTCCCGTCGTATGTTTCCTAGGGCTGTTGTAGCAAAATACTACCAGTACTGAGTGGCTCAAAACAACAGGAATTTACGCTCTCCCCGTTCTGGAGACCAGAAGTCAGAAATCAAGATGTCGGCAGGGCTATGCTCCCTCTGAAACCACAGGGGAGAACTTTCCTTGCCTTTTTCTAGACTTCTGGTGCCGGTGGCAGTTCCTTGGCCATCACTGGCTGGCAGCTATGTCACACCAATCTCTGTCTTTATCATCATGTGCTGTCCCTGTGTCTGTCTCTACAGGACTGCCTTCTTGTAAGGACATCAGTCATACTGGATTAGGGGCCCAATCCATTATGACCTCACTTTAATTCAACTAATGACATCCACAACTACTTTATTTTCAAATAAGGTCACATTCTGAAGCACTGGGGGTTGGGACTTCCGCATATCTTCTTTGGGGAGGGAGGCACAAATTCAGCCAATAACACCCCCTACTACCTTTAATCCTCTTCTGCCAGTAAAACTCTCGTATGCCGAAGGAGTCTCTACATGGTAAGAAACTGGAATAGGAATGAAGACAGAAGGCCCCATTGGCTTATAACGTTTTTCCTTTCTTCCACACCAGAAAGCATACTGGTTGGGAATTTTTATTAGAAGTCTTTACGAGAAGACTTATGTGTGGAGAAGTTAAATGCCTTGCTTGGTAGCACCCAACTGTCATACGTCACGGGCAGCCCGGTCTCCTAACCCCTGGACCTATGCTGTTCCCACTAATACGTAGAGCCTAATATAAAGCCCCACCAGTATGGGTCCATTGACACTCAAAATGCAAATTGGATGTTTTCAGATTAGATAAGATATTGTTATAAAGGGGCCACAAGGAGGATCCTTGCAGTGATGAAACTGTCGTGTGCCTTTGGGGTTGCGGACTACCCAGGGATGGTCCTAAGATGGTCCCCAGGCCCCTTTCTTCCCCCTCTGGTTGAGTAGCAGTCCCTACATAATACCACCGGACCACCTAGAAAGCAGGCTATGGTGACAACCATAGGTGCCCTCCTGTAGGGCATGGGAAGTTCCCGGAAGAAAAAAGAAAAAGTCTTTTTCATTACCTCCTCAGTCAGGAAATGGAAAGGAATTTTGCTTAAAGAGATTTCGAAGACAATGCATCTGCTCAGACCCACCCTTTGCCTCCCAAGTCTTGGCCTCAAACCACTAGCTGATGTAAGAGAATCTCTAATGTGAATGAAAACAGCATAGGGCCCTGGGGCACAGTAGCCAGGCCACGGGGGAGACACACGCGAAGATCTGGGTTTGAACCCCCTCTCTGCCCCTGCCTCGAGTGGGGGTTTAGACAGGGTACTTTTCCTCTCTGGACATCGGGCTCATGGAGATGACAACTCCCGTTTCCCGGGATTGCTTTGAGAAGTGACTGAAATTGTTCATGTACTAGTAAAAGCTCTGGTTATTAGAGCCTGGAACATAGCAGGTGTTCAGTAATATTGTTGGTCTTTATTCAGGGCCCCACACATGCAATATTTCAAAAATGCCATGGACTCTCTATTCAACTCTGTTGTGCTATTTCTAGTTCAAGTCATATTCCACCCTGGGCTATTTCGGCAGGAGGTTTCTTGTCTGTTGGATTAATTCTTTCGTTTCTAACTTTAACGCACTCTCAGTAATGTATTCAGACATTTTTGCGAGGGCTTATCCACATTCTAGTAATTTGGGGGTGAGTTTAAACTGGCTAAATTTCACTTTTCCACTACTTCTATTTCAATGGCTAGTTTGAGAGCCCTGTCTTTTGCTCACATTTGTTCATAGTTTGCCTCTTTGGCAAATATCTCTCACTTGCTCATTTCGGAGACAAGGAGAGTAGCTCAAAACCTAGGAGCCCAAGTATTTGATCCTGGGTTAGCATCTGATCAGGGACTCCTCCAGGGTGACAGGCTGTCACTGGCACTATGAGATGAGATGGCCAAGATCCTAACAACAAGAATTATGTCTTGATTTCACAAAAATGTTTTTCCAATCTCTCCCTATGTATGCCAAGATGATAAAGATAAGTCAGCATGCCCTAAAAAAGTAATTACCCTTATGCTGGGAAGCCTAAACGTAATTTAGAGCTATTAACTATGGAACTGACTGTTGAACTTGCTAGAAAGTCATCCAATACAGGTTTAGAGGCCATTATAAATCATCCAGAGAAAATAACCCCCCCCTTTTTTTTAATGTGATGCTAGGTACTAATTAGACCAATCAGCCCCAAGTGGGATCTTATTTGTTTATTTTCATGTTAGAGCTATCACATGATTCCATACCAGTCTTCATCTCAAAAGGAATCCCCAAACATTAAATAACATAAATTGTGTCATTTCTTGGATTGCAATGAACCACAAACATTAGCACACTACATCTAAGAAGCTGCTTTTGTTTTATTTTTGGTGGAAGAATACAAGAGGGTTAAATTTTTGTTCACTTATTTTAACTCAACATTTATTTTGTATTCAGATTACTAAGGTAGCCCAGATATGCTCCATTAGTGGAAAACTTGGAAAAAAAATAGAGAAGTACAAAGACAACTATAACTATCCGTTATAAATCCACTAATCATATAGTAACATTTTAGCATATTGACCTCAATCTTGCTTCTCTACAACATTTTTACATAAGTGAAACAGTTGTGCTTCTGTTTTGTTTTGTTTTTTTTACTTAGCATTCATAAATGACAATATTTCCATAAACATCCTTGGATTGATGGTATTCCTTTATATAGATCTACGGTCATGTGCTTAACCATCCTGATAACTGGGCTCATAACATTTATTTTTAATACAAAATTCTTTAAAAGAATCATGCTTACTTACATAATTTAGAAAATACTGAAAAGCATAAAGAGGAAAATATAAATTGGTGGCTAAATTTTTAAAGGTGGCCGTGATGATTTGAAAGCTGAAGAAAATACATTGACAACTGCCATTTAGTGAAGACCCGAGAAGTAGCAGACTGTGGGCAGTTGGATTTGTGACCTTCACAAACAACCCCGAAAGCTCAGAGTGTTATAATCACCACCTTACAGGTCCAGAGCTCATAGATTTTGAACAGATGGGTCTGACCCCATGTTTACGTTTTCTCCTGGCTATGTCAATATTGCTCTCCCAGAATCACCTCCACTCTACCGCCATGTCTACCCCCACCATCACCGCCACCATCACCACCACCACCAGCTCCAACTCTATACCACCACCCCCATCACCACCAGATCGCCACCCTTAGGGCTTCGTATCTCCATCACCACTTCTTTCCATCTCATTTCTATATACCCTTTCTTCTCTTCTCACCTTTATATTCTCCTCCTCTCTCGCTCCACTTTAACCTCCAACAAGCCTTTCCTTAAGTGTCAAGAGTAACAGAGAGAGAGCAAAAGCCACCCTACCACACTCGCCTTAGGGAAAATCCCCATTATTTATCTGTTCGACAAAAAGCTGACGGAGAGCATACTATGTGGCAGGCGCTGTTTTGAGCACTCAGTGTACAGGAACTTTTTTTTTTTTGCGGATTTTTTTCGACACCGAGAGCTCATTGTTTAGAATTTTCTTCATTTTCACATACTGTTTGCCGTATGAAACACACTTGCAAATTGCCAACCCATGTTGGTGTTACCAGTCCCCACAGCCTAGCCTCCATGCTGGCTGGAAAGCAGAAGTGAGCTGTTGAAGAAGGATCCCCGTGTCAAAAGGAAAGTCTCAGGCAATCATCATGAAGTAACTTCTTATCTCTTATTGCCACAGAAAACTACCACAGGAAAGAACTTCCTTTTTCCAGACTCAGTTGATGTGCATTTGCTTAATGCCGCTTGCCTGCAATAATTTACACACACACCCTCCCCAGAAAAGACTCTTGATACAGGAAGGAAAGGAAAGGAAGACAATTCGAATATCGATGAAAGGATGAGTACCTTAACAGATACATACACTGAAGTCCCTTCCCTCCTCACCTGCATGAAAGAAACCTGTATTCTTTCTGTTCCTATTTTCTATGTAAAATAATGAGTGGTAGAGGAATCAGACTCTGTCTATGACTGTGCACCGCCTAGGGCCATAGTAGGAACACATGGGCCCCTGCAGAAAAAGAAAATCCACTACTACAGTCGAAGATGCCTTGGTGTGTGGTAACTCTGACTCCTACAATTATATTTCTTTCCCATACACACAAAGAAAACCAAATGCTCCAGATGCACTTGGTAAAAACCTCGGGACCAACATTACCTAAGTTCTCATTTATATACAGGTATGATTTCAAGCCTGTGACTTTTTCCTAGGACTAAAATCCCATCCAGCTGCCTGCCTACAAAGGGGGATCCTCCACAAAGAGCCCAGCTTCTCCAAAGAAGGTGGCCACAGAGTGTTTCCCCAGGCAAATTCCTCAGGACCCAAACAAGTGCTAAATTGTGCTTTTCTAAAACAAACCCATGGTCCACAGTCCAAGCACCTGTCAATACCACATCCATTCAAGAAAGAGAAAAGCAGAATGAGTATACAACCATTCTCCCAGGGAATTAAAGAGTAATTTTAACACTGGACTTCCCAGCAGCAGGTTCATGAAGAGCTGAGCCAACATCATATCATCTCCCAAGAGTCACATTTTAAAACTCATCACCATTCTGAAAGAGAGAGTGCTAGGGTATCAATTGCTTTGCCACCTTGAAAAGCCAAGCAGTGACGCCTGATACATCAGCCAAGGAGTGATTTTACTTACATGCAAGAAAAAGAGAGTAAATCCAAGAGCTGGCTGGTTATCCCTGAGTTCAGAAAACTCATAATCCACTGAAGCAAAGGCTGGGATTCCACTCTACGCAGCCAACAGCTCTGGAGGCTCAGTCTACACAGGACTACAATTAGAAGCTGAGCACAGACTGAGGCTCTTTCGAAAGAAGAGGAAGTGTCATCTCTACTTCCTCAATTTTCTTGTTCTTCCCTCTTATTGTTATTGATCCCTTCTTCGATCCCCAGATCCAAGGCACCGCGCACGCAGAGCGCACGTGTCCTGTCTGTCTGACTTCGCTTATCCCTAAACACCACCCCGTGTCTTCGTTTCCAGGACACACACAAAACGTTACCTGGTTTTGCTTTCCTGTTTTGGAGGCAAAGAAGTGTACTTACAGGTACGGAGTGCGGGAACATTGGCAGAGCTGGTCTCAGTGTGTTCAGCGGAGATGCTGCTTGTTCATCACCCACCTCGTTTAGGCTCAATCTTATTTCAAAGTTCTCTTCGTTCTCTTCTCCAAACAGTTACAATGCTCTTCTCAACAGAGGCTAAAAGCATTTTCGGGTAAAAATAAGTCTTAGCCTGCCACTGTTTTGCAGCACAAATCATAAATTCTCAAATAGCAACACTTGTCTTTCCCCCACCAGGCAAGGAAATGACGGGCTGGGAGGCAGAGATGATTGAACTCCTCACCAGTCAATTCCGGCCCTCCCACCTCTCCTTTCCAACAGCAGCATCTTGCTTCTTGGGAAGAGTACAATCTCATTATATTTATACTCTGCTTTCAAAGAAAAGGAAACAAACCATTAGAATTGAGCTCGTGACCAAGGCAATCTTCCAGAATGTGGGAGCTACATCGTTAGCATGGGTATCAGTTATCTGATTGTGTTGACACTTAGAGGCTTAAAACAACCAACACCTATGACTTTAAAGCTTCTGTAGGTCAGATGTCTGGGCCCAGCTGAGCTGGGTTCTCCTGCTAAGGGTCCCCCACGGGCTATATACACAGGGGGGTCAGCCGGGGCTGCAGCCACCTCAAGGCTTGACTGGAGAAGGAAACTCTTCCCAGTGCAGTCCTGCCGTTGTTGGTAGGATTCAGTTTCTCACAGCTCTGAGACTGAGGGCCTCGGTTCACGCTGGCTGTTGACCAAGGCCACCCTCTGTTGTTTACCACATAGGCTTCTCTGCACAGCAGCTCAAGACATGGCAGCTGGCTTCACCAAAGGGAAAAAGCAAGAGGGAAAGGGAATGAAGGAGAGTGAGAAGCTCTCATTCCTGGTTAAAGTCCTACACGTGACCCATCAGTCCTGAAAATGGGCGCTTACAAAGGCTTTTCCCGGCTGGCGTCAGGGGGAAAGCTGCCCTCCCCACACCGGACTCGGTAACAGCGAGGGCACTGTGGTCTCTGAGGGGAGTTGCAGTGAAGGCCTTGGGGTCCCCTGGCCCATCATGCTCTTTTGTATACTTACATTCTCAGCCCCAGGTGTCTGAAGTGGGAAATTAAGGCAAAAACATAAATAAATAAATTTCCTTACTACCTACAGCCCACTGACAAGTCCTTGAAACAGGCAAAGTGACATTCCTCTAGGAACACAGCTGCCTCCACGTTAATACTTTGCTAAGGGCAAAAGGCAATCTAAGCCCGACCCCCAGGATCCTGTAAGTCTACTTTAACATATAAAAATTCTATGGAAACTTCCTTTATCTCTACCTCCCCAAGATACATGTTGGCAATCATCCCCCAAGCATACGGCTCACTGATATACATCTGAAGGGTCTCATGACTAAGGTTTTATTAGACAGTAATAAATGACCTTTTCCCAACAATAGCTAGCCTCCTCAAGGTCCTGGAAACCTTGCTTCCAAAATTCCTTAGAGACTTATGCTCTCCCTAACCCCCTCCGAACTTGAAAGTCTATAACGGGCTGCTCCTCATGACCCCAGTGCAGCCCTTCCTGCCCACGGGGCCTGTCCCTGGGCTTCAATAAAGCCACCTTTTTGCACCAAAGACGTCTCAAGAATTCTTTCTCAGCCATCAGCTTCGAACCCTAACATCTTTCCTATGTCGGTGTCCATTCCAAGATCTCTTATCTGGGACCTGAGGTCAAGGTCCTCTTTGGGTGCTTCCACTGAGGCCTCTTTATGCAGGAAGGAAGGGAAGCTTTGAAGATACCTTTCTGACTACTCAGTACTTCCTAGCCACCTCCCCCCTCCACACCCACTAGGGTCCATAACACGGCTGAAGCCTTTTGTTCGGGGCTCCCTCAACATCGAGACTACCCCCACACCTGTGCTCATCCACCTGACTCCACCGGCGCGCCATTCCATGGGGGAAAATGGAACGAGGGGAGTTGGTGTTTCCTCCAGCTTTACACTCTTGCTTCTGCCCTCATGGTAAGTGAGTAAAGCCTTAACTCTTTCAGTTGTGGCTGGTCGTTTTCATCAGCCACTCATCACCTCTACCTTGCCCAGCTCTGTTGAGCTCCTGACAGGAAGAGAGTGTGAGCAAGACAGAAGTCACAACTTTTATAACCTATTCTCAGAAGTAATATCCCATCACTTTTGCCACATTGTGTTTGTGAGAAGAGGAGAGATTCACACAGCGTGCACCCTCGGGGCAGGGATCACAGGAGGCCATCTTGCAGGATGAGATACAGTATGTAAAATTTTACCCAAATTCAAGTTGCCCCGGGGCCAGCCAAATGTTAACAAAAGGGAAAACCCTTCTAAAGATAAAATCACAAATATAGTCACACGGCTACGAGAAAATCTGAGACTTGCCTCCAGACATTATAATATCCTGCAGCCCACTGTACTCATTACCAAGATCATACTTACTGCTCAGACCTGAAAACCCAATGACCCTAATCATTCAATCTCCAAGACACGGACAAATTAACATAGAAGCAAACCCTATAATAAACTACAAAAACTAGAGTCTGCAATTTCAATCAAAAGAATAACTTTTCACCTAACCACAAGCATGAGAAGCCTCCAAGCAAACCCAGAGATTCCTCAGCAGGTTTATAGAGTCTCTTTAAGCATCCATCTCAATGAGATTCAAACTCCTCAACACCTGGCTTCTCTCCCCTTGACACTCAACAAATCTTCTCCCTCCTAAGAATAGACCAAGCAGGGCTTCATTGCTGGCTACAGTCTCCCCAACACTCCATGGAACAAAAACGTACTACTCCTTCCATCTTCGTTTGTAAGCATTTAGAAGGGCTACTTCCTGGCCTGAAACCACTGGGGGCGAGGAGGAAAGGGTCATTCTGGGTTGAGAAGTAAAGAATAGTAAAGAATCCAATTGACCTTAGATCTTCCTCATTTGATGATGTGCGGATAACAGCTGACATTCTAGACAGAAGCCTGTGGCACTGGATTTGCAGTTTAACTGGCAAAAGATGAAGGGCAACATTTTCAAAAGCCAAGTGGAGATCCTCTGTATGTCATGTTTTGTGTCTGTCCTTCTTCAGAAGTTTTTGAATTTACAGATTAAACATAGCCTACATCCCAACAGACGCCACGTCTCACAAACCAAATGTCAATTAAAAACTGTGTTAAAAATAAATAATGCCGGGACACCTGGGGGCGGGGGGGGGGGGGCTCAGTCGGTTAAGCGTCTGCCTTCGGATTCCGGTCACGATCTCTAGGTCCTGGAATCGAACCCCATGTCAGGTTCCCTGCTTCTCCCTCTCCCTCTGCTGCTTGAACTCTCTCTCTCTCTCTGTGTCAAATAAATAAATAAATAAAATCTTTAATAAATAAATAAAGCCATTGGAGGAGCAGAGAAAGCGAGGGCATATAATAAAGTTACTATTTGGTGAAAGTGATTGCCTTTGGGGAAGAGAAAATAGTTCGAAAAACAACCTGTCTCTGGTTGCAGACTTCCTCTCCGTTTCCTTTCATAAGGAGACAAAAATGAAATTGAATCTGTGGAGGAGTGAAAGGCTGACAAGAAGATGCTGTAATTCTGACCAGGAATAAAATGAAAGTTCTCTCAGTGGCTTCTTGTTTGCACGAACCTCCGTTTCGGGGCAATGCTGCCTCTTCTCCTCCCTGCCTGGACTGGTCCCTGCAGGGCTCTCTTGTGGGCGGAGCCGAAAGCGCCCGGACGCTATGGAAAGGACTTAGTGACTTCAGTAGCAGGGACTTGCTTCTCCTCAGGCTTTTCGACGCCATCGTCGAAGACATCCCCCAAAGGGCACATCATTCACAATTATGGGGCCGGGATTGGAGCCCCTTAAATTCCGCGAGCACAGATCACCTGATTGATAGAGGTGAAATAGTCCTCAAGGTGGCTGGACTTCCAGTTCAAGAGGAACGGATAACAGATGCTCTTGCCATTTTTCCTCCCTCCCCAGACTCCATTAAACGGATAGGAAAAGCATAAAAAGTATATAAGCCCAAAATAACAATGTTAACATTGGAGGAAGAGCATTAGAGCTTGAGAGATTTCAGCAGACTCCTGGAAGACGGAGAGACAGAGGGGGGTATGAAGTGTAGGAGGGCAGGAAACCAGAGCGTCCTGTCAGTAAGACTCCACACAGTGATAGAGAAACTGGCCATCTGTGCGGCAGGATCCCAGAGAGGCTCAGGACTCAGAAATCCAAGACAAGTCTGAAAATCTAGATAAGTGATGGGGCTGGGGCGATTAGGTGACTCAGTCGGTTGAGCCTCCAATTCAGGTCATGATCTCAGGGTCCTGAGATCGAGTCCCCGCATCGGGCTCCCTGCTCATCGGGGAGCCTGCTTCTCCCTCTCCTTCTGCCCCTCCCTACCCACCCCCACCCCCGCCCCCGCTAGCTTGTGGTGCACTCTCCCAAATAAATAAATAAACAAACAAATAAATAAATAAATGAAAAAAGGGAAGAGTGATTCAAAGTGTATAAGAACCTAGCCCCACCCCGGCCCACACTTCCCTTTCAAGGATCTCCATCAGCCCCCTCCCTTTACAGAGCAAGCACGGACCAGCCTGTGAGCAGCCATTCCCCCCCCCCACCCCACACAATATTGTGGAGGATTCATCTCTAAAAATAGTGAAATTATGCAAAGAACACAGACAAGGTATGT